AAATAAAATGCATCCAAAGTACTCGTTTTAAATACCCAAAAAGATTCAGAGAGATGAAAGATGCACAGTTAATGTCGATTTGTAGTTATTGTGTCAAAAGTCAGTCACGTCGAAAAGTGACGTTGATCATGTGTGGTAGAAAATGAACTCCAACAAGCGAAGTATTCTGGCATAATCAAGTTCGGATATTTCCCTATGTATAGATCCATTTACAATATTATATGCATTGAAAGTAGCTGTTCATGACATTGTAAAGTCATATAAACAAGACGGGATTAAGTCTTACTTATTACTCCAGGTAATTTCATCAAGATAAGTGTATGAAGTAGATAGAGCGGTCATTGAGAAACAATGACGTTGTCGGACGTCATGAAACAAAACGGCGACAGCGCCGGGTGATCATATAATGTCTTTTTTATTTTAGAATAATTTGGCAAATTATCAATATATCGAGCTAAAATTTTCAACATTTCTTAAACTTTTGTTGATTTATGTTCCCTATAAATTTTGTAAGCACAGACTACATAGTATTAATTTTATCGAATCAGTCCACGAACTTTTTGATAACCCCTCGTATACGAATGTTGCTTCTTTTTCTCAAAATCGTTTGTTTGAGGATGATAAGTTTCTTGAAAAGTAGAACTAAACTTTCAACAGAAGGATTGAAAAAATACGGTGATGTAGACTTAAAATATAGTTCACAATGATGTCTATTGAATTCGTTAAAAAAAGATTAGATGGCGCGCACCTGAGTCATACAGGCATATGGTGGACACCAACAGATGGTTTCGTATTTGTTGAAGAACTCCATAATTCATAAACACAAACTCATGTAACAACATTATAGATCTAAATCAACATATTGTGAATTATATATACATAAATATTGCTGATTTATTAACCAACAGAAAGAAACATTTTTTTTTTTTTGGGGGGGGGAGGTCGGGTTCGAAGGTAATTGAATAAATTAATTGTCAATGATAGTCTATTGTAGTTCATATGAAAATAATAAAAGGAGAATTCTGAGGAGGATTCATTAACTATTAATGTACAAAGTAAAGACATAGATGAATCCAAATTATTTATTTGGGTAAAAAGAGGAAATGGCCTAGGCACACAACCTCACACCCTCACCCCCAGAAGTAAATAAATAGGGAAAAGGAAAAAAGTATATTTAAGCGCGGATCAAGGAATTGAAGTCAGGGCGGGGGCAAAAAGTAGACAGGGGGTCTGGGGCTGCCTTGAGGCCCTCAGTGGATCCAGGGCGAAGCCCTGGTGGGGGGCCCGGGGCGAAGTCGCCGGAAGCTACTGGATTCTAGAGATTTTGTGGATAAAAGTGACATTTTTACATTTTCTCGACGAAACTACGGTTTACGCTAACCTTGACAATTTTAGGGGGGGGGGGGAGGCACCGGGTGCGCCCCACTTAAATCCGCCACTGATATTGCGTAACCTCTACAAAAATAAATAAAGCCCTAGGAATATTGCCCTAAATAGTATACACGTACTTCGGCTTATTCTGACAAGATCGCTAGATAAAAATAGAAAGATTTCAGGCTCACAGCCGTTATTTTGAAAATGAATGCACTCATACAAGTTGTGTATACATGTACATGTATTCCTATCCGCCACGAAAGCACTGTGCACAATACAGTTTAACCATAAAACGTCTTTTTCCATTTGGCAACTATGACAGGCACGTAGTATCGGGGGGGGGGGGGCATTCTTTTCCAGTCGTAACCTTTTGCTGTTCAAAAAGTTCATTGAAAGCCCCCCCCCCCATGAAATAATTACAATTTCAAACACGAAACTACATGCCTGTATGATATTGAAAAAAAAAAACGTGGCAAAACACGCAAAAAAGGGCTATTGTGAGTCATAGAACACAAGAATCTCGTAAACTTAAAAGACAGACAAAAACCCATTTACTGGTTATTGACCAAGGAAAAAAAACGAAACTTCTTCCTTATTCAAGACTGTCTCAACTATTGACATTAGCTAAGGAGAGAAACCATATACTTTTTGCTGTTTCTGAATAGAGGTTTTATTTTCTAGATTTCACCGCCGTCAACATTATTGATTCATCGAATTTACTTTTAAGGACATTTAAGTTATCATTAGGAAATTCAATGCCAATTAAATCTGTATTTATTGTATAATGTTGTTAAACAAACTACTTAAAAAAAACTTTGTTTTATTTTTCAAAATAAATGCATTTTACCAACAAAAAAAAAGTAATAATAGAAGCAGCTTTGAAAGGAACATAATTACTGTCATCTTTTAAAATGTTCCATGTAATTTTTCAAAATACTGTATAGTGTTTCAAGACGTAGGCTTTAATAATTTGGTGCTAGTAATTTATAGTATAAAGCATCTTATTGCATTATCATGTTAACATTGTTTTATTCTGAGATTAATACTTATTCATGTTGTAGTAGTTTATAAATACCTCAAATGATTAACATATTTTTTTGGTTATTTTACATTCTTGTCTCTTGTTGCTATTGTTTAGAAATTTATTGTCTAGCCCTTAATATTAAGGGTTCGGATTTTCATTAAAATAAAATAGATGTGTTAACAATGTCAGTTCTCATTCCTTTCAGTCAAGTATTAAATAGTTTCTTAGGTATGTAGATAAAAATCATCACTCAAAAGAAAAAAAATGTGCATTTTTTTGATAAATATTTAAATTCATTTCCTAATTGGACAATAGCTTTGTTTATATAAAGAGACCTTTGGTCAAATGCGCTTCTTGAAATTGATAATCAAGGTTCCGTTTTAACATTTTTAATGAATTTAATTTCAAGGATAATAAAATAATAAAATTTAAATTTTATTTCCGTCTGGCGTGAAATTTATATGTCTGCGTGATGATTTTAAGGATCGTAAATGTACTTATAATACACAGTTCTTAGAACGAAAAAAAATATTGTAATGAAGCATATATAGAAATTAAAAACAGCTTAAATTATTTTAGATACATACTAATTAAATTCATTTGTATATCATATTGATTAATTTATTCCGCAAATTTTTGTCGGATTGTTTTATCTAATCTGTTGAAATTTTAATTACAGCAATGAGCGAGACTTCCATTTTGACTATAATTATTCATTAATGTCTATACTTCTTAATTCTCAAAGAATCTGAAGTAACAAATTTCAAAGGGAGCTATGACTCACCCAAGTCTTCAAGAGAAACGAATTAAATGGATTGCATTGTTTAGTTCCTTTATTTCGCAGCATCAGGATCAAAAATTTTGGCAGACGACATTGCGGTACGCAGACGTTAGGACTCTCTCGTCTGCAACAATGGCACCAAAATGGCGCAAAAACACGATTGCCATCTTAACATCTTGTTATCATTCTCGAAATGAAAAATAAGAAGATGTTGGAGCAATATTGACCATAATATATCGACATATTTTTTTTATTGTCAGCTGTGTCGAATGCGATAAAAACCATTTGCAATATGAGTCATATTTATTGAATCTGCCATTGTACGATAATTGAACCTATTAGTGACGAAAATCCTCATTTAAATAAAATCAGATTGAAAAAAAAAACAACCTTGGTTTGATTTGCGAACCATCTTAAAGTCATGAACAACGATTTGTTTGTTATAATGGAAAGGGTGTGGATTTTAGTTAATTAGCTTTGATGATTTATTAAATTAAATATTAATCATGCCTTTGATTGAAAACTTGGGCAAAATTTATTGAAAGCGATAACTCGGAGCTGAATATAATTCTTGACAATTACTATGATTTCCATTGAAAAATATTGACTTATTAGAAAAAATAATATTCGTGTAAACCATATTTATGATTTGTCCACCTCCTTAGAACGGAAAAAGAGGAAATATACTCTAACCATGACAAGAAAAATGGATTGCGATGGCATTTTGCTTTAAGATATATTTCAAACGATTAACTACAATCGTTCAATAACGATAATATGATGCAAAACATTCGTTTGTTTAAGATTATAAGTCGATAAAAAAATTTCCTTCAATGCATCTTTTTATTACTGCTTCGCATCATTAGGGATTTAGATACAATATTAACTTTCTGTAATACTTGAATTATTATCACTGCAGTTTTTGTTGTTGGTTTGTAGAAGTAAATTACTGCCATTAAAGTTTAATAAATTTGATTCCATGACTCATTATCGGACTTTAGAGAATCGTTAACAAATCAATCACTGAGAAAATAAGACAGCACTCGATACTGAGAGCGCCTCATCCTATTCTAAATGATTTATTGTGTAACTGAACAACACTCAGGCAGAAGAAACAAGTTGTGTGGAGACCCATTTCAATTGATTTATTTGTTATTTTGAAGTTTTGCTGTCGGATTTACGTAAAACAATATTTGAATGAATGATATCTATGCCAAGGTGCATCATTATTTATTAGAATGCAGGAAAGAAAATCATTATGATTTTTTTTTCTTTTATGGAAGCAAAACTTCCTTTAAAAATGCGTCATTCTTAAATTTTATGATTTTCAGATATCGGCTTTCTATGATCATACAAGTGAATTATTAGTTGAATGCTTTTTTCTTCTATAGAAACTGGTGTGCTTTAATTTTTTTCTGTTGCCACTGAAATTTATATGTTGCTACATAAGTATGGAATTATTAACAATCATGGCCGTAGGAATCGAGGGGAGGCACGGGGGGCCGTGCCCCCCACCCATAATTTTGCCGATATATAGAATACTATAGAAAACATAGCTACTATATGCCTGTGCCCCCTCAATGATAACGTCTGAAGACCCTTTTTTTTTGCTTGTCAAGGAATTTTGGTTGTTGATAGTGCCCCCCCCCCCCAACTGAAAATTTATGGTTGTGCCCCCTCAAAGTGAAATTTCCTCCTACGGGCCTGACAATACTAAATTAACCTGGTTGTTATTGGGATTTTTTTTATATTTAGGGTTGGTGCTGATAGTAACTTTTTAGCTCTACACCATGTGAACGGTGTGCATGCAATGTAACTCACCAGAAGACATTTGAGCACTGATGTTTAAGGTTGCTGATCCCACCGGAAACGTACAGATTTCCTCCGTTTACGCATGCGGCATGGTCTGCGCGAGGACGTGGAATGGGTTCAACCTCAATCCATTTATCCTTAATTGGGTCATACTTCTCACAACTATCGGAGACCTTCCCACCATGCACCTCTCCTCCTAAAAAATTATAAATTTGAAGTCGGAATCGGACCATGTTTTATATACAAATTGTATAAATTTGTATTTACAATATATACACTTCACCGAGTCTGAGATTCATGCAGATTTAAAATATCACAAGATATGTATGGCGCCCTGCTATTCTTCAGAAAAAATATAAATACATGTATTTCTTTATATAATTTCCCATATTACTTATATCTCCCATTGTAGTGTCGCCCTAGTTTCGGGGATCATGAAAAAAAAATGAATCAACACCTTTTTTTGTATTGAAATGGGCATGTTTGAATAAACCTGCAGTTCTTCACAAAAGGATTTAAAAGAATTTTCTCTTCGTTTTCCTTAGAAAAATTTTAACCCCTTATCGTGGTCAAACCCAATCCTGGGTCCAGAATTTCAACAGACTTGTATCAACACTTCAGAGAGGTGTTTGATCAGAGTAACTATTTATGAAAATCAATATATTCTATGTGTTTTCAAGTGAAGACATCGAAAATGGAAAAAAATAATAGATGTCAGACGGACGCTAAAGTCGGACAGACAACGGACATACTATCATTCAGGGAAAGCTTGAGTTGTTGGCAGGGGTGAGCTAAAAAGCTGGACTCGTCAACCCGAAATAATTGAGAAATTAGTAATAGTTTAGCTACACACGTGTTTGATATGATTAACCTTATCAGACCACATTCTTGTTGCTATTCATAAGCACGATCTTGCTTAACACTGTTTGGCCAAGTCCAGGGATTATCGTTCTGTCAATACTGACCCTTTATAATAAGGAAAATTATCGATGATGCAAATAGGAGAAAATTGTAATCATAAACCCATTATTATCGCTTTGAAGAGGACATATACATATAGGTCAAATAATGCATAAATAGTCAGATGAATTTTGTCATTTTGCATGCGAGAAGATGGTTATTAAAAGGTTTGTTCGTCAGAAAAGTGACCTACACCTACAATACACATGTATATTTATTTCCATTGAGGTCAACTATACTTGAATCCTTTTGATGCGATTGACCAGTATTGAACTTTAGGATCTGTCATATTGTGACGTATAATTTACTATATGGAGATAATTCACACGAAATGGTCCATAGTAAGCAGTCATTTTCTTAAAGCAAGTGCCTTGATTCTTAAGTTTTATAATAAAGATTTAATTTCAATGGACTGTGTTCATTAATTATATTCCAAAAAGGGATTGTAATAAATCAAATAGCAAATAAAAAGTCTGGTTTACTTTTAAAACGAATACAATTCAATATTAATCAAATAAATGCAACAAGCGCGGATCCAGTATTTTTTTCGGTGGAGGGGGTGGGAGGAATCCACACCCACAACACCAAAAAGAAAAGAGAGAGACTCAGAAATCTTTGATAAGCAAAAAATAAAAAAATAAATAAAATAAAATAATAATAATACTAATAATAGTAATAAAAAAATAATAAAATTTTAAGAAAATTATATAAATTCTCCAAACTCCAAAATCTAATTTCGATGGGGGCACGGGGGGGGGGGAGGTCTTCTACATATATAATTTATATACCTCTTCTCACCATATCATTTCCGTATTTTCTAGGGGGTCTGAGTTCCTTTTTTGCTAACGTACTATAAAAATTCAAAACTGAAAATCCCGGGATGAGGGGTGGGGGGTTAGATTTCCCTGTCTCCTCATCTCGAGATACGCACAAGGGCAAAAAATGTAAATATGTCAGAAAAAGAATTGCTTTGGTTTTTGATAAGCCAGTTGAACATAGAAATCGTGTTTCTTCTTCATGACTAATTCTATAAAGATTTCCGTAAATTATTACGTATATTATGGGTGTACATGAAGTTGTTTACAAGTTGCTGAAGTATATGAGTAAATACCAAAAATAGAAAATGGTACAGATATCAAAATAGAGGCGTAAATATTAAGAAATAAATAACAGGATTCCGGAAGTGAAGTCTTCAGAAAGGTTGTCACCCACTTATTATTCAATTTTTGTGTAGAAATCAGGCCCATTGGAAGCAATTTTTTTTTGGGGGGGCAAACCAAACATTTTTAGTTTGGGAGGGGGGGGGGCATTACCAAGCAAAATATTCCCTGAAAAGCAAATAAAAAAAACACAGTGTACTTTATATTCACAAAAATATTGGACGGGGCTTGCCCTCCCCTGCCCCCCCCCCCCCCGCTCCCCTACGGCCATGGTTATAATATTTGATAATGTACTACATTCATGTACATACACATGTATATGCAAATATACAGCAACATATGTATTTGTTTCTCATGTCCACATTGTTTTTTGACAGAACCCCCCCCCCCCCCCGATAATCTTGTCTGTATTTGGACTATGTTAAAAAATGTATTTTTACAATGGTTTAATTTTAAATTTGCAGATCTCTACTTTTTTTCATCAGTAACTTAAAGTAAAACGTTTTAACTAGTTCGTTCCATTGGTTTATAGATTTATACATATTTCGTACACCCAAACATCCTGATAACCAAGATTCATTGGGCTTTAGATTAATTTAAACAATATTTTAGTTATAGAAATATTATAAACATGATTAACTAACAAGGATAGACTATAAATACCCTCTCCATCGGTCTATGGGCGAAAATAAATCTTAGTCTGAGCAATAGATATTTCTTTTCAGGGTTGTTCAAGAATCTATGTTTATTTATCTCGATCAGTGTGCTAATGTATTCCATATTTTGCCCAGATTTATTCAAGTGCACGTTATGAATAAGAAGCCTGCTTGTATGTCAAATCTACGTTCTTTTAATGGTTTTGTAAATGTGCAAAAGGTGTATTAAAATTTATTTTGAGAGGGATACAAAAAATTCTCAAAAGAGAAAGGTACCTTCAATTCATAAAGAAAAACGATATGTGAATTTAAAGTTCATATCAACTTTTTTCCTTTTCAAATCTACGTAATTATCTGAAATGAATTTTTACTTTGAAAGGGTGGGTAACAATGCGATATTGAAATTTAACTTCATTTATGTATATGCACTACAAAGGCAGTCAAAAATCTCTGCCATTTAATCTTCAGCACTTGAACATGTAAAAGATGTTTTTTACCTTCATAATTTCAATTTTACTTTTATAAATGCATCTAATTTTTTCTTAAATTCTTTGTCATTTAGAGTGACCGCCTGTTTAATCTATGCATTGATCTACATATTTCTTAATGCACAGAAATCACGATTTATAACACGTCATTTTCAGATTATAGTCAGTAATTATTTGAATCTGTTGTTGACAGGCATAACCCTGGATAATCTGTCAAATAAAACAAAGTCAATCAATTAATCTATGAACAATGTACCTGTAACGTATATACAGCCATTAAGAACATCGGCTGTGTGACGACACCTAGCGGTGTTCATCCTAGCTCTTCCGGTCCATTTAGCACTTCCGGGATCGTAACGCCAGGTGTCACTGCGGTGCTCCCCAGTTTCCCAATCTTTTCCACCAATAATGTAAAGATATCCGTCCAATTCTATTGCTTTAAAATGCACCAAATTTGCCAGTTTACTAAACCGCATGACGTTACATTTTGGAAATAGTCTATTATTCATCCAGGGATCTATCATAAAGTAAAACACCTTAGAACTTCCAATGCTTTTGTTGAACAAGAAGACAAAATCGAAGGCTTTCATGTCTATGTGAGAGTCATCAGTACTCTTTTGAAATTTATCCTGTAAACTAACTCCAGCCATGTTTTAAACACCAAAGTCACATCAAGCAGCTTAAAAGAGTCTTGTATTTTGACACATCATGCAAAAAATGAAAATGCCTCTTTTTGATAGACTGTGTTATTCAAAGTCAATAATAAAGTTCATTAAAAAACAAATCTCAACTCCTACAGTATTTTGCAGAATTATATTCATACATCATAAATACTCAGAGCAGTTTTATTCAAGAACTTTAAACAGCAATAATCTGTGCTTAGAATTAATCTTCAAGAAATATACGTTGATAAGCCCTCACTAATCACAACACATAACGAGTATTTAATTGATTCAAGACTAATATGGTGCAGTACATTGTCATTAAAACTAATATCTTTAATTCAATTGAATAATAATAAGAGAAACATTATTAAATACGACTTTCGTATTTCACCCATACTTAACCCCAATTTAGGCCATGTAACCAAGATCACTGTTATGAAATAAAGGGTCACGTCAAATGTGTATTTGTATTTTGTATTGATTGACTGGAAAACAACTTGTCATTCATACCCTTTTTTCAGGGTGTGGATCAAGGATTTTTTGTTGGAGAGGCGAGCCAACTTAAAAAAGAGGTTGGGTGGAAGCCTCCCAGAGGGCTTTACATGGGTTCCAGATGAAGCGCAGGTCGAGAGGGGTGGGTGGGTAGTAGATCTTTGAAACTTTTATTTATTTATTTATTTATTTTTTTGGGAGAAATTTTGAAACTATCTTAGTATTCATATATTGTTTTGATAGAATTTCTGTTCATTTTGAATGAAAAGGGTTTTTTATGAAGATTTTTAGCTGGGGTTGCAGAAAGTAAATCTGCTTAAATTCAAAAATCTTGTTCATGTTACAAAATGTTGCAAGATTGCTTACTATAAAATTATTAAATAGACATAGTTTTTTTTATTGCAAAAGTTTCTTATCTGCTCCAGTGTGAAAGAAATTAGAAAAAATAAGTAAATATACTGCATAATATAAGTATATACAATAACCATTTTTTTAAATAATAGTATCGTACCACTAAAATCCGGGGGTTACACTTCATAAGCGCATTTCCTGTACGTGACCTCTGGACTTTTTCTTTTAAAGACTATCCTTATTTGCTTCTCATTACGTCAGAAGGCGCGATTAATATAAATAAGAAGAGGGAATGGAAGACGGATAGAGGGAAGGGCGGGAAAAGCGCTTAATTAAAAACAATGTTTTATTATAGTTTCTGCGAATCATGTATTCTGATAAAGTTTGCGACAGATATGTATATTGTAACCCAAGATACCCTGTATGAATATAATAACCGACCTGAATACATATTTCCCAGAGGACGCTTTATGGCAAGTTTAGTTGAAATTGACTAAGCGGTTCGGGGCTGAAAATGTAATAAGTTTACAGAAGACAACCAATATACGACAGACGAACGCCGGACACTTCTCAATTAGAAACATTCACAGAAGCCTTTGCAGTGGCAGAGCTAAAAAATATCACAGCATAAATAATTCCATATAAGGTCACGGAATTTCTTAGATGTGTATTTACATGTGCTTGTCACCATCTGAAGAGTATTTAATTGGTGTTTTAAGCTTTTTTTATCCTAATTAAATCTTTGTCCAATTATAATCACTGATTAGTTAATCAAGAGTACTGTTAATGAAATCCTTTGCAAGATCTTTATTATTTTGAATAAAATAGAAAAAAAAAAAAAGAAGCATGAAAAGTACAATAAAATATCCTCCGTTTCAATGCTTGCATAATATGTGTACCTTTTATAATGAGGTTGGAGGCTTTGACCCGTCATTAGAGGCATTGCAGTCACATTTCTAATACTAATAATATTCCCGTCATGTAACATCCAAACAAGGATTTTAATTTTAAAAATTAATTTCATGTTTGTCAATTAGTACCTAATATAATGTAATCAATATACATTTGTTAGTTAGGTAAAAAAGAAATAATTTTTCATGAACTGAAAATTCAATACAGAGAACTAGCTGTTTTTGATTTACAGGCTGTTACAAGGCTGTTATGAACACTTCTTAAAACAGGCAAATCAGCATACGTGCATGTATATACATTTTTTCTTGTAGGAATGATGTCAAAAGATGAAAGGTACAAGTAATGATATGTACTTGTACTTATAAGGAACATATAATTCGTTGAAATATATTACAAATCTTTTTTTGTTATTCAATTCATCCATCTTTAGAGTTAACCTTTTTTATGGTCTTAAGTTTTTTAAGCAAATGTCACAATTAATGTCTATCGTATTTCGTGATTGGTAAAAAGACTAAAAACCTCTGTGATCCATATTTCTTCTCTTTTTTACTTTTAATTTTAGAAAACATGTTTTTTGAGGTTTAAAATAGAACAAAAGGCCCAAGGGCCACAATGCTCACCTAAGTCACCTTAGTCATGCCGTCTTTCAGAGGATTATTTTTGAAAGATTTGTTTCCGCTGTATAATCCATGAAAATTTTGACCCCATCAAAGCCCCAAGAGGTCATGACTTAAACAAGCTAATTTCCACACTATCTGGGGATTCTGAATGTTAATATGACTAATGTGTTTTGGTATTCTGGAAAAGTAGTTTTTGAAAGAAAAAATCTTATACACATTGATTATGTATAATATGATTTTAGCCCACTCCTATCCATAATTTGAATAAACTTTAAAATTCACTCATGAGAATGTATACATACTAGTATTAATATGATTAGCGGTGCCCTGCTATTCTTGGATTTAAAAAAAATAATTCCTACATATTCAAATATAAAGTCCTGGATACCTATAATTTAAGTCCCACCCTAGCCCCTTGGGCCATGATTAAAACAAAGATGAGTCTTTATCTATTGGGATTCTGACTTAAGAAGACTCTAAGATTTTTTTCTCCTAATATGTCACATGTAAAACTTTGATCCTTTATTGTGGCTCCATCCTACTCCAAATGGCCATGATTTGAAATTTACAAATTTGAATCTGTACTACCTGAGGATGGTTGTATATTGATGTGACAAAATATCGTTTTGCTTTTCCTGAGAAGAAGAATTTTCAGCATTTTTCCCTTTTATATTCCCAGTAAAACTTTGATACCATATTGTGGCCAAGCCCTTCTCCCGCGGGCCATGATTTAAACAAACTTGAATATACACTGTGTCAAGAAGCTTTTGTATTAGCGTCATTTTGTGGCCCAGCGATTCTTGAAATAAAGATTTTTAATGACACCACTCTACTTCTTTTCATTTTAATTCTTGGTGATCTATTGAAAGAGGGCATAGCCCTTCATTTGAGTAAACTTTATTTGCCTACATCCTAAAATACTGTTTACCAAGTTTAGTTGCAACTGGCCCTGTGGCTTATTTATTTTCTCAATTTTTTTTATGTAAAGTCAGTTACATAATAGAATTGGAATCAAGCGTTCACGACTGCCTATATAAGTCCTCTCCACTGGCCTAGTGGTTCTGGAGAAGAGGTCGGAAATATACATGTACGAAGTTAATAGATACAGGGCAGAAAAACTCATTTGAACCTTTGGTTCAGGTGAGCTAAAAGGTACAGACACACAGACAGATGACAGATAAACCTTTATTATGAGCTATTAATAATAAACAATTGGCACAAAAAGTTTGAGAAATATTAAATTATGTTACTCATGGAAGAGTGTACCTCTACTCAATTTATTCGAAACACTGGTGAAATGTTAGAGTTTTGTGCTTGAAATTGACAAGTGTGCTTGAATGCGGTTTATTACAATTTAAATGAAACACGCAACTAGGTGAATTTATGATTCCTCTTTTTTTTTTCTCGGCCAAAGAGCTTCCTCTTTCAGAGCTCCTAATGGTGCACTTTCGAATGTAGAATTAAGAGCAAGCATCTCATAGTCCGCCTACATATGTATCGACAGAAATTGATAATAATGTGATCATTTTCTAAGAAAGAACATGAAGAGGAATTCTCATTGTCAGGAAATCGGTATAATTGTTTTATTCTAAATTTATGAATTATTGTTAATTTTTAGCCATAAGCACTTCCCATTTTTGTATAGAGTACCAAATACATTACGGTACAATCCTCTATACTTCCGGAATATGAATGAAATATGCAAGCTTCGAGGCGACGAGGAAGGAAGTCGGCAGTTCCTGTTGTAAACATGCGAATGTAATTTGTCTTAGTCAAATGTGCACATAAGGTGCCAATTAATGTTTCCACAAATGACCTTAGTTGCATTTGGTGGTGGAGCAGGAGGCGAAAGGGGGGTGGGAATAGGGGGTGGGGTAGAATTTTAATGAAACTATAGGAAGGAATTTAAATTCAATCGGGACTATATTTGCAATTCTTTGAAATTGATACAATTTTAATTGAACTCGAAATATGATGTATCCCATGTTTTTCAAACATCAAAACATTGTGAATACAGAACATACTCATGGGTATAACTTAGGAGTTTAAAAAAAATCTTTTTTTCTCTCCTTCTACACGTAATAATGTACAAAAAATGTACAGTATATTAAAGAAATTTACCAATTTCAAAATTAAATTGATATATACATTTGAAAAATGACAATACGTGTATTCAATAAACTATTATCACTAAAATGTACAATCTAAGGAAAATTCGGATATGAAACAGAAAAAACCCATATTTGTTTTTTACATCATCAAGAATGTTTATCATCTCGTTCATCAAAACGGATTGAAAGCTTGAGACAATCGTCACGACGTCGTCAAGTTAGTGTGGGATGTCATTTCTAAGCGTCCACTTCAATTGGGCGCAAGGATGCTAGAATTAGACAGTTCAAACTGAAGAGCAACGTCCTAGCATCTCTTGAGTAACCATGACTCATATTTACAACGCTCTCATTAAATCACGGATGATATAGCAACGAAACATAAAACTCCTAGCAGCTCAGAGACCGTGAACTGACCATGTGTTAGGATTTTTATGATTCATGGTATAATAAACAGACCACAATGACCACGAATTAATAATGACCTTTGATGCGGTCAGTT